CTCGCCGGCCCCGGCTCGGAGCTGAGCGGCCCCGCGATGTGGCTCGGGCCGGAGGGGGTGCTGGTGGCCAACGCGCTGTGGGTGACCGAGCGCGCCAACCCCTTCTTCGTGCTGCAGCGGCGCCGGGGCCACGGCAAGGGCGGCGGCCTCACGGGTGAGCTGGGTGCGGGCGGCCTGGCCTGTGCGCGCGGGGCCCGGGACGCGACGACTCGAGCGGCCGAGCGAGGGTCGCAGGGCGGCCGGGGCGGGACGCAAGAGCCGGGGACCCGGCGGACCTGCAGCTGTGCAGGGGACCCGAGCCCCGAGCAGAGTGGCCGAGAGCCCCGGCGCCCGAAAGGGACGTGTGCATCCTCCTGCAGGGGGACCTGGCCACCGGACCTCCGCAGAGTCTCGCAGCCCCCTGCTTCAGTTTCTCCACGCATCTGCTTCTGTCCCTTCAACCCCCTTCATCGAAGAATGGCCTTTTTATATCGATCAGAAGTCCCCATTGGTGCCCCTGGCCCTGCTCCTTCCTCTGGCTTTTCTTCACTTGGTGCCATCAGCGATCCTGGGGCATGTTCTTGCCCAGTTATCAGTGGCTGTCCCCCTGAGCTAGCCTAGGTCTGCCTCTTGTGAGCCTGAGCACTCCAGGCTCAGGGAAGGAACTGGAGTGGGTGCCTCTGGCAGTTGTTCATGTGGGATTGTTGCAGCCTACTGGGAAGGGTTTGTTCAAAGCCCCAGGGCCTGTGCTAAGTACTACTACAGGAACAGGACTGGGTCATGCCCAGGGTCAGTCTGCCTCAGGGAGACCCTAGTAGTGTCCCCTTCTAGGTGGATTGTTGCCCTGACAGAATACAGGTCGAGTGTTCCCAGACCTTCCAATTTATTCAGAGAAATTTCTGTGAAATGTCCTGATTTTGAGTGTAGTAGCTAACACAGTCCAGCCAGATGCAGATGGAGGCGTCTCCCGGGTGACCTCTGCTGCCAGCCTCTCCTGAGCCACACTTCTTAATGTGGAAGAGACTGTACCTTTTCCAAGAAAACTCATTGCTCTCTTCCACTGTCAGGCTCCCTCCCAAAGGGCCTAGAGGATCACCCTAGGCTGTGCTGGATCTGCCCCTCCATGACCCAGCAGCCCCACTGGAGAGTCCAGTGGCCAACCTTGGAAGCCACGGAGGAACACAAGGCTCTGTGTGGCAAGTCCCTTTGTTACATCACTCATCTCTCTGTGTCCCCCAAGACTGAGCTTCCAGAGTCTCCCCACTCCTGAAACCATTCTGTGACCCCGCCCTCAAGTTCTAGTGAGCCAGGTTTATGCAGTCTGCTATGGCCTCTGCAGTGACTTTATGCCATCATAGACACCACAGCCTCCTGAGCATTGTCTCCCTCAGAGAGGACCATTGTGATGCAGTTTATTCAAGCCATCCTTTAAAACCTGCCAACCTGGACTTTTCAATGAAGAGTGGATGTGATAAGAGGATCAACACATTAAAATGGTTTAGGGTTATGCCAGTAGTTTATTTAGAGGTTAAAAACTTTCTAAGACCAGAAGAGAAACTTCAGCATGAATGAAAAAAGTTTATTCCAAATGCTGTTAAAGTTTGAATGTGCTTTTTTGTTCTGTCTCTCAGGGTCTACTGTGTAGCTCTGGCTGGCCTGGAATTCACAGAGATCCACTTGCCTCTGCCTGCTGAGTGCTGGGATGTGCTACTGCTTCTGACAAATGTGTCCTCATTTGTTGTTGTTTGTTTTTGGTGACAAGGTCTCACTATATAGCCCTGGCCTAGAACACGCTATGTAGACCAGGTTTGCCTCCAGCTTACAGAGATCCACCTGCCTCTGACTCCCAAGTGCTTAGATTAAAGGGCTTGTGCCACCACACTCAGTTCAGATGTGCCCTTTTAACCGCAATTTATTTTTTGCACGAATTTGTGGGTGTGTACACACGTGTGCAGGTGCATTTGCATGTGTGTGCCAAGGCCAGAAGTTGGTATCAGGTGTCTTCCCTGATCACCCCCCTCCTTATTTTTTTAGACAGACTGGCCAATGAGCTCCAGGGATCTGTCTTGTCTCCACCCCATCTCAGCTTTGGGGTTACAGACACAAGCTGCTGCTGCACCCAGCTTTTTATGTGGGTGCTGGGGACCCAAACCCAGATCCTCATGCTTTTGTGGCAGGCATTTTACTGACTGAGCCATGTTCCACCCCCTAACTATGATTTAGAGCCACATTTTAGAACATTTCAGTAAAACAAATGAGAAATCAACAAACTCCTGATTTGGAGGTATGTGAATAGTACCTATTTGGTAATCATTCATTGTATTTATTAGAGACTGGAGGAGAAAAATATGAATGGGTTCGCAAAAAGTATTCAAGTTGAAGAATAAAATCAATAGGGATTGTTGCTTGAGCCAAGAGAAGGACAGTAACTGTATTTTCGGATAACACCAAACCAAAGCAGCACTTCGTAGAAAAGGAAGAAATAGATTTCAAACAGGAACAGCAAATGGTTTTTAGATTACTTCATCATTTAAGTAATGAGGAGTGAATCAGGCGGACAGTGGAAGATACAAATTTCCTGCTGATCTACCAGGAAATAAGGACACTGACAGAGCTTTAGCACAATGTGGGTGTGAGTGTCTTAGGGCCAAAGGGTGCTTGGGGAGGAGAGCTGTAAATGCTTCAATTCTGAGATTTAGAGAAAAATCTGCCGCACATGCCTAATCTCAGCATTTGAGAGGCAGAGGCAGGCGGATCTCTGAGTTGAAGCCCAGCCTGGTCTATATAGTGAGTTCCAAGCCAGCAAACCCACTACAGGGAGATCCTGTCTCAAAAAAAAAAAAAGAAAAAGAAAAAGAAAAAATGCCTAAAAATGCTTCAGTTCCAAGATTTTTTTATAATGTAATTATTCTAAAAATGTTTATGTATGGCTTTTATTTGGTCTTTTTGAAACAGGGTCTCCCTGTAGTCCCAGCTGACCCAGCACTATAAAGACCAGACTGGCCTTGAACTCACAGAGATCTGCCTGCCTCCTGCTGGCTGGGATTAAAGGCATGAGCCACTAAGCCCAGCTTCAGCCATGATTTTTAAGGTCAAAGAACTTTGAGCCTACAAAAAATTAAAATCTATACTCCCAAGGGCAGGAAAACTACATCCTCTTCTTGGTTTCTTTTGTTTGTTCATTTTCTTTTGGTCTTTTTGAGACAGCCTCTCCCTGTAGCCCCAGCTGGCCTGGAACTCACAGAAATCCACCTGCCTCTGCCTCCCGAGTGCTGGGACTAAAGGCATGTACCACCATGCCTGGCATGTCCTCCTTTTTTGATATGGAAGATGAATGTTACATTGATATGTAACAATGAATGTTACAAAGTCTTTGTCCTGTGGAAGAACTGCCAGAAGTCTCAGCCAAAACCACCAGAGGGAGGAGGGGCATTCTTATGAGATGTGTCTAACAGTTAACTAAAAGATATTGTGGGACCTGCGAGATGGCTCAGTGAATAAAAAATACTTGGTGTGAAAGTCTGACAGACTTTGATCCCCAGACCCCACAGTGTAAAGAGCCAGTTCCTGAATATTGTCCTCTGACCTCTACAAGTGCACCATGACACACACCACCCCCACAGTGATAATAAAAATAAATAAGACTTAAAAGATATTGTGTAAGCCAAGTGTGGTAGCTCACTTGTACTCCCAGAATTTGGGAAGCTGAGCCAGGAAGATCATGAGCTCAAATCTAGCCTGGACCACATAATGAGATCCTGTCTCAAAATACAAGCAAAACAAAATATATTTTTCTGGACTTTGTGATATTTGTGGTGGTTTTCTTTGTTATTTTCATTTATAACATTTTCTTATTCCAAGAACTATTTACCTGGTATGTAGCTTGGTGAGAAAATGCTTGCTAGCTATAAAAACCCTTGGTTTGGGGGCTGGAGAGATGGCTCAGCAGTAAAGAACACTGACTGTTCTTTCAGAAGATCTAGGTTCAAATCCCAGCACCCATATGGCAGCTAACAACTGTCTGTAACTCCAGTTCCAGGGGATACAGCAGCCTTTTCTGTCCTCCATGGGTATTGCATGACACAAATACACTTACCTGTATGCAGGCAATACACACATACACATAAAACAAAAATAGTAAATAAAATATTTTTTTAAAAAAGCTCTTGGTTTGGTCGGGCGTGGTGGCACATACCTTTAATCCCAGCACTCGGGAGGCAGAGGCAGGCAGATCTCTGTGAGTTCAAGGCCAGCCTGGTCTACATAGTGAGTTCCAGGACAGCCGAGGCTACAGGGAGACCCTATCTCAAAAAGACCAAAAAAAGCTCTTGGTTTGATCCCTACCAAAGAAATACTAAAAACCTAATTTGGGGTGGGGGTAGGGGGGTGAGGCACTGAAGATCCAGCTCAGACAGAGTACTAACCTAGCATGCAGGAAACCCTGAGTTTGAGTACAAAATAAACCAGGCTTGGTGGTGAGTGTCTGTGATCCCAGCACTAAGGTAGAAGCAGGAGGATCAGCACTTAAAATCATCCAAGTTTGAGGCTAGCCTTGGATATTTGAGACCTTGTCAAATAGGTCTAGATAGATGATAGATGATAGATGATTGATAGATAGATAGATAGATAGATAGATAGATAGATAGACCCTAATTTTGTACTTTTCTGCAAAAGAGCCTCCCAGATTTACTTGATCTTTGAGCCCGGCCAAACCTCTGTTGCACATTTCTAAGCCAAAAAGAATAAGCAGATGCCTCCAGGAAGATGTAGGAGGGGAGTTTTTGAGAGAGCAGCCTCTGACTGGAGGCCCTGGAGGAGGAAAGCTGACCTTGGGGATGATCAGGGATATGCAGCCCTGCCTGGACTGGACCTTCCTGGCTGTGTTGCCAGGAGGGCTATCTCTGGCCGGGCTCAGCCCCCAGGGCACCTCACCCTCCATCTCTCCTCACCTTCCAACTCTCTCTGCTCTGCCCACAGGTCTTCTCGTGGGCACCCTGGACGTGGTGCTGGACTCCAGTGCACGCGTGGCCCCTTACCGCATCCTGCATCAGACCCAGGACTCACAGGTCTATTGGACAGTGGCATGTGGTAGGTGTCCTGAATCATGAAGTCACACTGGGAGGGGACAGGCAACCTGCATTTCTGGTGGAGTGGTGTCTTCTGAGAACCACACAGTGCCCCTCATTCAGATGGCACAGCCCGTGCCAGCTGGAGGAAAGCAGAGGAGCCTCCGTTCCCACTTAGGAAGGCAGCTCTGCTGTGCCAGGTCAGGACAGGGGAGCCCCCGTTCCCACTTAGGAAGACAGCTCTGCTGTGCCCAGGTCAGGACAGGGGAGCCCCCGTTCCCACTTAGGAAGACAGCTCTGCTGTGCCCAGGTCAGGACAGGGGAGCCCCCGTTCCCACTTAGGAAGGCAGCTCTGCTGTGCCCAGGTCAGGACAGGGGAGCCTCCATTCCCACTTAGGAAGGCAGCTCTGCTGTGCCCAGGTCAGGACAGGGGAGCCTCCATTCCCACTTAGGAAGGCAGCTCTGCTGTGCCCAGGTCAGGACAGGCAGAGGACAACCCCATCAAGCTCCTGAGGGCTCAGGTCTGGCTTCCCTGGAGCTACATTCTCTCTCCACCTTTCCTCAGGGGAGGTACACTGAGCCTCGCAGTTTAAAGAGTCGTATTTTCAGTTCAGCTTCTTGCTCATATTTACATGTAGTCACATCAAAACTCCTGGCACGTCCATGGTCTTGCATGTGTATGCAACATGGCAAGAAATTTGACTTACCTAATGATGTGTCCCAGCTGAAGCAGGTCAAGGCCATGCTTTGCCTTCCTGTCTGGCTCTCCTATTGGAAACAAAGCCCCTTCAGTCTCTTGAGTGGCATGTTTTCCCATCTGTCTAACCTGTGTTGGTGATTTCACTGCAAACGGTCCCTGTGCAAAGTGCTGAAGTGCTGCCTCTTTTCCTAAGTGCAGGAAGGCTGTGATGCCTCCTCAGAGAGTGCCGCGGGGAAGCTTGCTTGGGAAAGAGTTCCGGTGCTGTCCATCCAATTCAGTGCTAACGAATCAATAGTAGATAACGAGGTGTCTTTAGACCAAAAGACACATAAGGCAAAGTTACATATTGATGAAATCAGTGTGACCAGAGGCTCATGGAACCTTAACCCTGTATTTCCCCTAGGATAATGGTTGAGTATTCTGTAATTCAGTGCTGGAGGGACTTCATAGAATCTGTCCACCATGAGTAATGAGACTCTGCTGTCGTCATGTTTGGATGAGATCAGCTGGCCTTCACTGCAGGACAAAGTCCCTGGCAGAGGGTGCCAGTCAGACTGAGGTTGCTCTAGTGTTCAGACAGCACTTCCTATGTGCCAGGCGCTTAGCTGAATCTACTCACTGGCGCTTCAGCCCACTGTTTAAGATGAGAAACCGTGGCCCAGAGGAATTACACAGCTACCGAGCATTATATAGAGCTGTAGTTCAGACCCACGGCACCTGCTTCGGTACCAAATGCCGAAGCTATTCTCATCCTCTAGGATGCCGGTATTCCTTGGGAAAGATGATGAGACTGAAACCTTTGTGTGGTACACACCTATAATCCCAGCTTTTCTTTTTTTTTTTTTTGAAATTTTTAAAAATTTTTTATTTATTTATTTTTATTTTATGAGTATATTGCCTGCATGTAGGTAAGTGCACCTGTGTGGTGCAATGCCTGCAGAGGTCAGAAGAAGCTATTGGATCCCGGATCCCTGGAGTTATGGACAGTTGTTAGCTGCCATGTGAGTGCTGGGATTTGAACACAAGTTGTCTGCAAGAGCAGCCATTGTTCTTAACTGCTGAGCCATCTCCCCGGTCTGAAGCATTAAACTTTTGATGTTTAAGAGCAGAAAATAGGAAGGAAGGAAGGAAGGAAGGAAGGAAGGAAGGAGGGAAGGAAGGAAGGAAGGAAGGAAGGAAGGAAGGCTGGGGATGTAGCTAATTGGCACAGTGTTTGTCTAGCATGCCTGAAACTCTGGGTTTGGTCCCCAGTACCACATAAACTGAGCACAGTGGTCCCAGCAGGATAGTCCCAGCAGGAGGCAGGAGGATCAGGAATTCAGAGTCTTTGGGTCCATAACAAACTCAAGGCCAGTCTGGGCTACCTGAGACTTTGTGTCACAAAGCAAACAAAGGGGTTACAGAGATGACTCAGCAGGTAAAGGCACCTGCCGTCGAGCCTGGATTTGAACCCCTGGACCTACATGGCAGAATGAAAGAACTGACTCCTGTTTGTCCTCTGACCTTCACTCATACAAGGCAGCACATGTACAGCCCCCACCTACAAAGTTACAATTGATTAAAAATTAAAATAGGGGGCTGGAGAGATGGCTCAACAGTTAAAAGCACTGGCTGTTCTTGCAGAGGACCTGGGCTCAGTTCCCAGAACCCACATGGCAGCTAACAACCATCTGTAAGTACAGTTCCCAGGGATCCCATGCCCTCTTCTGGTCTCTGTGGGCATTGCACACACAGGTACATACATGCGGCAAAAACACTATACTCATAAAATAGAAATAAATAGCCAGGTATTATAGAGCATGCGTTTATCCAAGCACTCGGAAGCCAGAGACAGATCTCTGTGAGATTGAGGCCAGCCTGGTCTATCTAGGGAGTTCCAGGTCAGCTAGAGCTACAGGGAGACCCTATCTCAAAAAACTAAATGATTAAATGTAAATATAACTGTTTTGAAAATTAAGTAAACAAATAAAGGAAATAATTGGCTTGTGGACTCAGGAGTTAAGAATGCGTGCTGCTCTTCCAGAGGACCTGTGTTTGGTTCCCAGCACCCACATTAGGTATCTTACAACCACCTGTGACTTAGCTCCAGGGGATCTGACTTCGGCTTCCAGGTAGAGGTTTGGGAGTCAAGGGAATAAAAGCACAGGCTGGTGGCAGTTTGGAAATAGTCTGCTGCTTACCAGGTGAGCACTCTACCCACTCTGCCTCCTTTCTCCTCTACCCAGGTGTATTTCCTCCTCCCTGTTATCTGAGCAGCAGTGACCTGCCTCCCTCGGTATAAGTGAATAAACTTAGGTTAGAAAGGTGCATGAGTGCAAGGCCACGTGAAGCCCAGTAGGATCCCAGATCTTCTGGTTTCCAGCCCCGCAGTGGGGCACTGGGAAGCTGCAAGCACTGCCTTCAGGACAGAGGGGTTTCCTATAGAGGACTTCTGTCTACCTCCAGTCTCATCTGCCGGGGTGCTGGGATTACAGATGCATGCTACCACATCTGATTTTTTATGTGAGTTCTAGGGATTGAACTTGGGTCATCAAACTTGTATAGCTAATGATTTTACCTACTGAGCTATCTTCCCAGCCTGACAAGTTACTTTAAAATGGACTCTGAAGGGTGTCTCAGGAAATGCATGGAAAGAGGCCGAAACACCAGGGATAGCCATATGGCAGAGGAGAGGAGTAGGGAGGGGATAGTGGGTGGTGACTCCTTGGATGGCAGTGGGACCTAGTGCTGAAGAAAAGTCCTGTCCACATTGAGGAGCCCTAGTCCTTAGCCCCACACACCTCTTTCCTCTCCATGCCCTATCCCTTCCTTCCCTGTGCCTCCTTTCCCCGAAGTCTGGGCAGTCTCAGAAGCAACTCGACAACACTGAACACAGCCCTTCTGGCACCTATGCAGCGTATCCCAACCTCCATTTCCAGATTCTTCCCCTGGTCTTCAGTCAGGCAGCACACCTCCAGTGCCTGTTTCCCACCAACCCACCATGGTTTCTGTGTATAGTGTTCCCTCCACTCTGTTTAGAACCCATGTATCACTTCCCCAAATTCCATAGACCCACACATGCTCCCACCCATGCTTCTTACTCTGGGTTTGACCAGTCTGTACCAGTATAGAAGTCTCTCCCATCAGATGGGAACTCTCCAGGGTAAGGGTAGGCTCCACAGCCAGGCAGCCTTGACTGAGAATCTCATTTGCTAACAACCTTGCTGGGTGCCATTGGATAATTTACTCAGCCTTTCCATGCCTCACCTTCATCTTGTAAAATATCTTCAAGGTGTCCTAGAAATGACAATCTGTGGATGGTTCTACAAACCAGAGAGACACTCAATAATCTAATCAGCTGCTACATTCTTTTTACCCACTGTACCTGAGAGGGCATAGCTTGTTTCCTTAGTGTTAAATGATGGGCATGTTGCTTTTACCTAATCACCTAGATGCAATACATAAACATTTATAATTAAAATGCAGACAGACAGGGTGGAGTTTTCACTGCTGGGAATGTGTGTGAAAAGGAATGATACAGAGATCATGTGTAAATTTATCCTCTGAATTCAATTCTCGATTCTTGACAAAATGGAGAGAAAAGGAGAAAGAAATCCCTTCCTACCAACTAGGCCTCTACTTCTGTGCACCATGGCAAGGAAGCCATAAGAGAAATGCAAAGAAACACAGGAAGGTTTAAAAGGGGGCGGGGTATTTGTGGATGATTTAAGGAGCTTGCAGGGGAGCTGTTCACCTGTGTGACTCGCCGAGTTAGATGATAATTCTGGTGTACTGTTTTCACAAAGCCATCCTGCCCCAGACCGAGGGATAGGCTCTGTCCTGTGGAATTGCTTGTCTGGTTGGTGAACTGCTTGAGCAAGAAGCAAGCCACCCCAGGCGGCACCAGAGCAGTGAGAAGGTGCCATGGCCAGAAAGAGGTGGTAGGGACCCACCTGGCCCAGCCAGGAATGAGTCAGGGCCACATGCTCAGCTGATGGAAGAGTGTTGCCAACTAGGGAAGAAGGGTAGGGTACCCTGTCAAAAATACCTGCTTCTAGCCTGGGGGTGGGGCTCAATAATGAAGCCTTCACCCGGCATACTTAGAGTGCTGGGTTCCATCCTCTGGTTCACAGTCATGGTGGATTTGTTTCTTGGCCAAGTCTCCCTGCATACCAAATATGTGGGCCTGGCCTTGGCATGCTCTGCCCACTGAGGCCCAAGGACTGCCCCACCCCAGCAAACCGAGGACTCAAAGTGCTCCCTTCTCCTCCTGTTCTTGTAAACATTCATTCCAAAAGGTTTTTAAGTGCAGACTGCTTTTCTTTTGCTTTTCTTTCCAGGGCCACCCTCCTGCATCCCAGATGAGAACAAACAGTCCTCCCATCCCTTGGGAATGGCACTGTGCCACCTTCTCTAGGATCTTACAAGTCCACAGGGTCTGCAGTGTTCTCTTTCCAGAAGGGTGGGAACTGCATCCTAGGCTGCATCTAGGCATCCTAGATGCTAGTGGAGAAGGCCGGTAGGATTCACTGAAGAGGGGGATATTAGCTATTCACCTGCCTGGCAGAGCTGCTGGCCAGGGGCTGAGCATCCTGTAAGTTCAGCTGAGACCTATGGACTCTCAAATCTCATGAGAGCAGGGGCCACTTTCTTGAAGCTTTTCTGATGAAATCACATCTATAGCAAACACCACCTTAGGTTCTTTTAACTAAAAGAAAAGGACTTGATACGTTCCCAAGCTTGCAGCCTTGTGGACTTTCTAGGACACACAGACAGGGCTAGACACATAGACAAGATCTTGGTGTTGAGAGGAGAAGGAGGCTTTGTCGCCCACACAATTCTGCAACTCTTCTGTCTTTCTGTGTTTGTTGTTTTTATTATGTTCATAGGAAGTTTACAAAGGATGTGCTGGAGGCTGGAGAGGCTGGAGAGGTGGCTTAGCAGTTAAGAGTATGTACTGCTTCTACACAGGACCCAAGTTCAGTTCCCAGCACCCACATTTGGTGGCTCACAACCACCTGCAACTCCAGCTCCAGGAGATCTGACACCCTCTTCTGGCCTCCACAGGGACCTGCACTCATGTGCACATACACACATATGCATATACACAATTAAAATTAAAAATAAAACACATCGCTGGGTGTGGTGGTGCACGCCTTTCATCCCAGCACTTGAGAGGTAGAGGCAGGCAGATCTTTGTGAGTTCGAGGCCAGCCTGGTCTACATAATGAGTTCCAGGACAGCTGGGGATACAGGAAGACCCTGTCTCAAAAAGACAAAAAAATGAATAAATAAAATAAAATAAAATAAAACACATCTTTTTGAAAAAGGAGGAAAGGCTAACATACAGTCTTGAAGACTGTAGTCATTGAATGCCCACTGTAATTCCTCTCCTTTGAGTTTAAGACTGCTGATTTCATGGTCTTTCCTCACCTAATTTGTCCTAGGTTCCTCCCGAAAAGAGATCACCAAACACTGGGAATGGCTGGAAAACAACTTGCTTCAGACACTGTCCATCTTTGACAATGAGGAAGACATCACTACCTTCGTCAAGGGCAAAATACATGTAAGACGCATGCCCCGTGAGTAGTGCTCTTTCCCCTCTTGGGGTCCAGTGGTCACACATGGTTGGTGCTCTGCATCCACAGGCTCCACTTTTGTGGGTTTGACTGTGAGCCAAAAATATTTTATATTTTATTTTGCTATTATTTTTTTTTAATTTTGTGTGTATGCGTGTATTGCCTGCATGTAGGTAAGTGCACCCGTTTTGTTTAATGCCCATGGAGATCAGAATGCCTAGACACCATTGGATCCCCTGGAACTGGAATTACAGACAGTTGTTAGCTGCCATGTGTGTTCTGGGATTCAAACCTGGGTCTTCTGCAAGAACAACCAGTGTTCTTAACTGCTGAGCCATCTCTCCAGCTGCCAAGCCAAAAATATTTAGAGAGAAAAGCATCTGTGCTGAGTACATACAGGCTTTACTGTCAGTGTTTCCTGAACAGTGCAGTGTACAGCTACCTACAGAGGATTTACACTGCATCGCATGTTATGAGCAACTGAGAGATGATTTAAAGCACACACAGAGGTGGGAGTAGGTTATCTGCAAACACTACAGCATTTTGTAAAAGGATCTTAAGCATCCAAGGATTCGTATATCTGTGGGGTTCCTGGAACCAATCTCCCACAAACCCCAAGAACGACAGTATGTTATCCTGTCTCATCTTTAAGCACTATGGTGTAGGATTTGATTCTATTCACAGGTTGGAAACTGAGGTCTTCTCTCTCATTGAATAGATAGTCTATTGCTCTAGTTTGGATTTTGACTGTCTCCCAAAGGCCCATGGGTTGAAGGCTCGGTCCTCCATCTGTGGTATTATTGTAAGGTGCTGGAACTTTCAGGAAGTGGGGCCTTATGGAAGGCAGTCCGGTGGATGGAGGCCTGAAGTTGGAAGGGGGTATCAGTAGTGGAGCCCTGGCCTCTTCCACTTTCTTTGCTTCTCAGCCAGTGACATGGACAAGCCTCTTCTACCACATGCTCTCCACCATGGTGTGCTGGGCTATCAGAGGCCCAAAGCAACAGCTAAAGCCACTGTGGACTGAGAACTGTGAATCCATGAGCCAAAATAAAAATAAGCCTTTGCTCCTTTGCTCCCTGGTCATCCCAGGTGGTTAGCACATTGACAGGGAGGTGACACCTGTAAAGCCCCATGTCTTGACCAGCCTCTGAGCCTGGATTCCTTGTGAAGTGCCTTAGAATAAATATGTGGGTCTGTAATTTTGTTTGCCAGGGCCTTGGCCAACAGAGGAAGATCCTGAAAATAATAAATGTTTTCTTGTTTCTTTGAGATAGAGTCTCATGTAGTTCATACTAGCCCCAAACTTTCTATGTAGCCAGAACTAGCCTTTAACTCATCTCCTTCCCTCCACTTCCCAAGTGCTGAGATCACAGGCATGCACCACCATACCCAGCTGAAATAATAACAATATTTTAGTGTGTTTTTTATTATACAGCTAACATTATGCCGGGCATGGTAGCACACACTTTTTTTTTTTCTTTTTTTTTTCTCATTGCAGCTGGTTTGTTTGTTAGTTTGTTTGTTTGAAGCAGGGTCTCCCTGTAGCCCCAGCTGTCCTGGAACTCACTATGTAGATCAGGCTGGCCTTGAACTCACAGAGATCCGCCTGCCTCTGCCTCCCAAGTGCTGGGACTACAGGCATGCGCCACCACGCCTGGCGGTAGCACACACTTTTAATCCCAGCACCTGGGAGGCAGAGGCAGGTGGCTCTCTGTGAGTTCGAGACCAGCCTGGTCTACCTAGTGAGTTCCAGAACAGCTGGAGCTAGAGGGAGACCCTGTCTCAAAAACAAACAAACTGAAAAAAAACAAAAAACAAACAAACAAAAAAAAACCCTAACATTATTTTAGAAGGCACGCACCTTTTTACCCAGGAATTTTTGGGGTGTGCTCTACACTATGTTCATAGATGCAGAGTGGCTTTGTGTTAAGATGTTTCCTGCAACCCTGTACTGGCAAAAACATTGGAAGAAATTCCTCCTGGCCCCACCAGAGTGAAAACAGCTCTTCCTCTGCAAGTAGGAGAGTAATAATCCTGCCAGCATTTGTGAGCTACTACTGCGCACTCATTCTGCTAAGTGCTTCATCTTCAGGGAGTTATTAAGCCATATGTGATATACTTAATTGAAATTTTTTTTAGCCATCAAAATAATGAATATGAAGCCAAACATGGTAGCATACACCTGTGATCTCAGCATGTGGGAGTCAGAGATAGAAGCTTATGAGTGCCAGTCCTAGCCTGAGCTACTTAGAGAGACCTGCCTCAAAAACAAACAAGGGGCCAGGCGTGGTGGCGCATGCCTTTAATCCCAGCACTCTGGAGGCAGAGTTCAAGGCCAGCCTGGTCTACATAGTAAGTTCCAGGCCAGCTGTGGCTATAGGGAGACCCTGTCTGAAA